CGAGAAAATCCCACTGCTGATTTGCTCTTTGACCCAAATCTGCAACAAACAGCATACATAAAAAAAACAAAAAACATGATGGAATTATTAATTAGGAGCTATAGTCAATAAAACAGAGCTGATGAATGATAATGAGATAATACACAGTAGATTAAGTTATATGAAAGTCAGAAGAAGTCAGCATTTATGTAAATTAGGAGAGAAAACACTTTGTAGCTTTATCTTCTCAATTAATCATGAGATCATTGATTATAATGCCAGCAGGGCCGGGAGGACTGTGCTCATGTGATTACCTGGGTGTCAGAGAGGACTTCATGCGCTGAGACAGAGAGCTGGAGGAGGGGGTTTTATTGAGCTGGTACTCCGGAGTGGTCAGAGGTCCCAGTATGCTCACTGAAATATCACAAACAGTTAACATTTACAATCTCAGCCTCCCATGAAATGTCAGGCTGTTGAAACGACTGCGCCCACACTCATACGGCAATAACAAAAAGTTTTAACAAACCTCCAGCTCTCTCAGGGGTGGCGTAGCAGTTTGCATTTTCAATGATCAAATGCTCCAAGTTCGGCTGCTCGTGTTCTGCTGCCATCACAAACTGGGCCCAGAAAACCACCGGCAGAGCCAACAGACGCTCCACAACCTGAACAGAAAGGGATTAGTAAAAAATGGAAAAAGATCAGGGTTATTTCAGAGTATTGCCTAATCCACTTCCGCCCGTGCTACGCTAGTTAGGTTTGCCTTAAGCAAGATTGAGGGGAGTTACTAAAAAAAGAAAAGAAAAAATAGAAAAAATAGAAAAAAAAATAATGGTGTTATGCTCTTCTTCTGTGCAATATTACACTGTAAGATATTTTGTGGCCTCCAGCTGTTGTGTGTGCTCAGTCTCCTAGATTTAGCCATTCCACATAATGTATATTAAATCTGTTGCCAGACACTGTCATCCTGATAAATAGCAAAATGCATCAGAATTAAGATTTTTTTTAAAAAACAAACAAACAAACAAACAAACAAACACTTTAATATGTTATAAATATTAGAAGTAAATGTTTAAGAAATGGCAGCTTTTGCTGCAAATTCTAGTGAAAGTATAATGCATTTATAATCTGCGAGATTTAAGACATCTTAAAAATGATTTATGCATTCTTTTCCAGCACTAACTATTAAACAATCTTTACATTGTGGGGGTACATCTCTATATAATAACAGCTCACAGGGATTCACAGGAAACCTGCATGTCATTTTGTGTCATTGAGTTAAATTTGTGATTTCACCAACTTGGTATTTCACATTAAAGGTATTCAACCAGCAAATGTGGAAGGAGACTCTAACCACAAGTGTAATGAAGGGAACAGCTGCAAGAAGTCTGGCTACCCCTGGGCAAATTACACGTTTTGTTGATGCCTGCAGCGAACACATTAAAATGAGCCAATTGTGTTTGCCACAGACTTGGTTTATTATGGTCACTTTTGTCAGAGAATCAGTTATAAATAATCCAGGAGTAATTGAAAAAGATGAAGAGCTGTTCTCAGCATTTCAGATTGCTTCCGTTTAAGGCAAAGGAAACTGTGCAGTTGTAAAGTGTGTGCAACTACACCTTAAAGAGAGGCATCCGCTGCTCTTCTTTAGTTTATTTTTGCAGCAAGCGCTCAACAAGTGCACACTAGGACAGGTATGCAAGAGCTGCGTCTCATCTTCCAAGCTTACCTTAGGCTGTCGTTTGGTATCCTGTAGGATTGTCATAGGGTCAGGATTGGGAACTGCGTGTCCCACAATTGTTGGACCAAAAACTCGGGACAGGTTCCTGATGTCCATCTTGGTGTCCAAACTGTCAGCAACTCTGAAAGAATTGATTAGATTCAGTACTGACCAGCTGATGTATAATCAACGACATATGAAATATATATATGAAAATAACTCCCGAGAGATTACACTGATATTTTAAAGAGGGCCTATAATGGCCATGTCCAGCTCCAAAATGTTAATTTGGTGCCTGCAGAAAGTTGTTTTGCATCATTCACTGCTTAAAATAATCATTTATAGTATACAGTCCTTGGAGCAGCCCCTCTCTGCCTTTAAGCCTTTTGACTTAGTTTAGAAAAGTCAAACAGCGCTTTTGGCTCACAGGTACAACAGTACATGTGCTGATTTGAAACATTTTAAAAATGAGCATCCACCGGTTTTTGAATAAATATAATAAAAAGTAAAAACAAGAGCATCCTTTAAAAAAAAAGTTCATTTTAAGTTTAACAGCAGAAATAAATATAAAGTAAAAAGTTCAGGTTGTTTATGCAATTCGGCACTTTTTTTCCTAGATGCAGCTCGACCGATATTAGAATTAGAGAATGCATATCGATATTCTATAAAGGTGAGGTACAAAGAGACTAGAGTTAAAATGTATCTACCAAAGCACAAATACAGTCGCTTGAAAAGGAAATTTACCACAGGACTCTGAAAGCCTGTGAAATACTAAGTATACTCCATAATTCAATATCTTGTAGAATCACTTTTAGCAGCAATAACTTTTATCAGGCTCTCACAATGTTGTGGAGGAATTCTGGCCAACTTCTTACAGTGCTGCTTCAGTTCATTGAGGTTTGTGGGGCATTCATTTATCCGCAGCTCTCAACGTCATGCCACACCATTTCATTTTGGTTCAAATCTGGACTTTGACTGGCCCATTGCAACACCTTGATTCTTCTTTTTCAGCCATTCAGTTTTAGATTATTTTTTTTTGTTGTATTAATCAGTTTGATCCAAGCTTTAGCTGTGGGGCAGAATGCATAACATTTGACTCTGGAATAACTTTGGTATAAAGAGGAGTTTATGCTCCACTCCATGCTGGCAAGGTGCCCAAAACGAGTCTAAATCATCAGACTTCACCCACAGTGCTTCATGATGTATTTGTGCTGACATAATTTGTGCTGTTTGGGTTTCACCAAATGTGATGCCGTGCATCATGGCCAAAAACTTTGGTCTCATCTGCCATAAAGACAGATGATGTTAAGATGCAACTTTGCAAACCAAAACTGCGCTGCTATGTTCTTTTTTAGAGAGAATAAACTTTCTTTCTTTTACATGATGTATATATGACTTATGCGGTGAGAGAAGAGTAGGTGCAAACCTCTGAAGGTGAAGGATTACGAAAGCCAGCGTGTCTCTGTTGGGCTGTGGCAGGTCACCAATGGTTTGGTACATCAGAGCTATGCTGTTGTCGTCATCTGAAATCTCTGTGGGAAAACAAGGAAAACACATTTTTTCAGTACAGACCAAGAAATAGGGTGTTGTGACTTCTGTGGATTTATTAGCGGCTAGAAGGAAAATGCATCTGACTACAGTAGAAAACAAACACTAAAAATGCTAACAGACTTAGAGATCGATCCTTTGTTTTTGTTCCAGGCAAATTCCCACCAGAGGTTTTCATCGCTCATCAAAACAAATCACAAATGTAAAGCAAAAGCACTTATGAAACCTGTATTTAATCATGTGTTGGATAAATTGCTTAACTTTCAACACTGCAGTTATTTCAAGTAGACATTGCTTTGTGCCAAAACCCTAGACTAGTAAACACACTCTTACCAGCTGCGTCCATGAAGGAACGGTTGAGGCGGAAGGTGAGAAGAGGCTCCTTAAGGTTCCTCAAAAAGTCCTTGAGGAGGCCAGTGACGGCATGGATATCATCCACCTTACTGAGCACAGGAACAGTTTTGCTACGGAGAAACTTTTCCTTCAGCTCCTTCACAGTGCGCTCAGCACCAGAAAGACGGTACAGTCCAGCCTGAGTAAGGGGAAAAACATTTTTTTTATCTGAATTATACTGATATTGTTTCTAGGGAAAATTACTGTAGCTGTTATCTGTAACGTACTGTTTGATATGAGGGGGCACCTCTGCAGCAAGGTACTAAAATCCAGAAACAAGAGGTCTTGAATATTAAGGCCCCATCTTATCTTAGACACCTCATACTACCATATAAGCCCAACAGAGCACTTCACTCTTATACTGTAGGCCGTTATGGTTCCTAGCGCTGGGAGGAAAAGCCTTCCAGGCCCCTCTTCTATGGAAAAGCTTCCAGTCTGAATTAGGCTTAATTTTTTTTTTGATAGAGCTGATAGTTTGGGCTGGATCAGGTGATTGAACTCTCCCTTAGTTATCCTGGCTTCCCCCATCACTCCCAACTGCTCGTGTCAGATGGATGCCCCTCCCAATCCATGATTCTGCCTGAGGTTTCTTCCTGTTAAAAGGGAGTTTTTCATCCCACTGTTGCCAAGTGCTTATTTATAAGGCAATGTCCAATTGTTGGGGATTTCTCTCTATTATTGTAGGGTCTTTATCTTTCAATATAAAGTGTCTTAACTCTGTTATTGCTGTGCTTTAGTACTATGCGAATAAAAAAAAATCCAATATCCAAAAGACAACATCCCCAGGACATTTGCTAGCTCTGATTCCCTTAATTTTCTGCAAGCCCTCTTTCACCCTTTCATAGAAATGGTTCAACTAAATATTTACTGAGAGTTTGATGAGTCCACAACTCATCTTGTTAAGATAAAGGATATCTAATAAGAACAGAAAAGGCAAGAAACTCGGGTAGGAAAACTCAACAATTTTCACATGAAATTGATAGTTATGCACAAAAAAAGCAAGTAAGACAAGTGCTAAATAAACAACCCAGAAAGAAGAAATGGCAGCAAAGTCAAACAGCAATCAGCAGATCTGGAGCCTTTCCATAGCCCAATTACAAACTTAAGCTCCCAGTAACAGATTGTAAAATCTTAGTTACAGCTCTGTCTCAGCTTAAGGGGAAGACATTAAAAATAACTACTGGGGCTTGAGGCTTTACTGTTCTTCACATTTCTGCATAATATTAGGACAGTGAAATAGCACTCACTTCATGCAGTCCCCTTTGCTCGATCTCACTGATACAGTGGACCACAATGGGAGGGATCATGGGTGATGTGTCTGGGACGTAGTCTGCGAGAACACCCTGTAAAAAACCAAAAACAAAGATGGGTTAAGCAGCCAATTTCAGTGGATCCACCTGCACATGAAGAGTAAAAATTTTATTACATACCTCCCCAATTTTGACTGGTGTGCCACCCAGGTTGGGGATGCATGGTAGAGGGCAGCGCTCACGACACTCGGGGTGCGAGACCACCCTGCAGTCCCTGCACTTCAGTGAAATCTTGCCAAACTTGATCCTCTTTCCGCAGGGCACACAGGATTCAGGCTTAATGACCTATAAAGACATTCCACAGGAGACTGTGAAGTTATCTACCATATATATGCAGCTAAAGAAGCAGAGACACTTTGTTTAATAGCGATACAAATGAGCAAACAACATTGTCAATATGGATGCCAACATTTTTTTTTGAAGCGCAGGGCTGGGTAATTTATTTCCCATGGGGCCGCAAGAGAAACTGGTACTATTGTTGAGGGGGGTACCAATGAGCTGAACTCAATTCTGTTCAATATTAATTTTATCTTTTCACAAGCATGTTAGTGGAGGTCACCACAATAGCCCCAGTCTCTCATGTGGCCCCTTGGGGAAATTAATTGCGCACCCTTGCTATAGCAACACTAAATTAAGTCAATAAAAAAATAAATAATTTAACATATTCAATTCTTAAAATATATAAGTAAATATCCCTTTTACTTTTTCAGCTATTGCTGTATAATGGCAAAACCTATTTAATTTGGAGATAAAGAGAACCCTCCTTTGATCTAAAAGGAAAATGTGCGTTTCTAGTTACATTCAGTCAGTGCTGTTCTTTCGCATTAATGTCATTCTTACAGTTTTGGAGACGAACTCATGAAGGCGGACGCCTCCATTGCTTTGTGGAGTACTAGGCGCAGCTTTCATCTCTAGCTCAGGGTTGGCAGGCTGCTTGAAGACATCCTCAGACTTGACAGATTCAGAGTCCCATTCCATAGCAGCTGAACAGGAGAGATAGAAAATAAATACCTGCTTGTAAAATAGCACAAACCTTCATCGTGCAGTTCTGAATCACTCCTACTGCATAATGAAGTTTTTTTTCAACACATCCAACATTGTTTTTCCATTAAATTATGCGTTATTACTTTTGCTAAAACCCAACAGAGCCCCATGTTGTTATCTTGTTAGCCGAGTAGATGATTTTACTTACTGAAGAACAAAGTTAGCTGGATGAAACTAAGCACAATCATTTGAGCAGGCTGGAATATAACTCCAGCATAGATAAGCCACATATAAAAGCAGCGTCCACAGATATTTTAGCTGTATACTACCTCATAACAGACATCTTACCAGTCTTTCTCCTGCTGCGGGTCCAGTATGGAACAGTCTCAATGGTAGAAACCGCCTCAACAGATCCTCCATTTGCAGGAACAGTCACTGTGGTCTTTGTCACAATGGCCTCATTTCCCTGCCACAACACATAAGAACAGTCAGAATATCCAAATACAGCCAAACTACATCAGGGCACAGCAATGAGCTGCAAGACTTGGCTGCAATCTGCCATCAGCATTTGGTTGCCAAAGCTAACAAAAATGATGAATGATTAAGATCATGTATGATATATGAAAGCAATACCCAGAGCTAAATAAATAACCTACCATCTCTGAAGTTTTTCCTGTTGATCGAGACCTTTTAGAGGCAACTGGAGGACCATCAACATGATTTCTCGAGGGGCGCTAAAATCAAAACAGAACTTTAACGCTCTCGTTTCCATTACATATAAAACAATGTCATCACTTCTCAAATTTGAAAGAGCAGAAGTAACACACCCTTTTTTCTCGTTTCTTGAGTCGCACTGTCCTCACAGTGGAGGAATCCCAATCCTGTCAAGATCGAGCATGTCATTAACAGATTTCAATTATTTTCATTGATACCGACAGGGACAACATCCACAACAATCTGGTATCTACAATGTATTAGTGTATGCAGTTTCTCAGGAAACACTTCACCTTATATTTCAAAGTTAAATGGGAGAAGGAAGCAAATATAACACCAACAAATGAGGATCGCTAAAATATATGTGAAATAAATGTCAGCACCTCCAGTCGTAGCCAGTGGAGAGAATTCTCATGGACCTGACAATGTAATTATAAATTGGCTGACCACTATCTTGGAAATGTCCAGCAGTCCAATCTTACTGCTCAGAGATAGTATCATAAATTGAAGACACTAAATTTGAGAATGTGGCTGGCCTTGTAAAAGAAATGAAAAGAGTTTGTAGAGATACATTTCAGAAGTATTGATTAAAATGGCTGTTATATATGAGATGAGGAGAAGATTGACTGATAATTATATAATAACTATATCATATTAGACAATTCTTCCTGTGGTAACCATAGTTTTGAACATTGTGCACTGATCATAATCGATTTTTTCATGCGTGAACATCCGGCTTCATCTGGGGTCTGGAAGGACTTGATGGACTAGTCTGGACTTCCATTCATTTTCTTTTGTTGATTTTCCACAGGTGCGTGGGTAGACCCCTGGGATTAATTCAAAAAACAATCACTATCGTGTACTTAACTAGCCACTGTGTGCTTCATGTATTACCCCAGGTGACCTGTTTTGATCTGCTCTGTCTTCTGAAATCTGTTTGCTTCTTTGAAACGCAATGATAAAAATAACGTTCAAAAAACAATAAAATAGCACAGTAAAGCAGTAATACAATAAAGCACACAGTAACTGTGTGCTTTATTGTATTACCTACCCGTTGTGACCCGTTTTATTTTGCTCTGTTATGTCTGCTCCTTTGAAACAAAGTGATAAAAATAAAGTTTAAAAAAAAGGTTTCAAAATTAAAGTGTTTTTTTTTTCATACATTCAAGTTCTAACTTGTAAAAGAGAAATACTTACAAGAGAGTCATCTGTTTTGTCATAGCTGATATCTGACAAGATGGAGCCTGATTCATCTATCGTCATCAGTCTATCAAGAGCAACAGAAAATATGCATCAAATCAGCTAATGCTGTTCTTTTACTCACATGTGTCCCACCTAACTTAATGGCTGATTCAAAACTCTAAGTAGTAATTCAGTAAAAAGGCTGAAATGTTTAGATGTACCCATGTGTAAGAGAAAGTACCTTAAAATCAAACAATCAGTAATCAGAAATAAGAGCTTTACATTAAACAGCTTGAATTTAACATAAAACATCTTGAGTTACTTACCTTCGGCTGGTATTAAGGTTGGTTGTTGCCTGACAGTTTGTGTTCAGGAAAGCCAGAGCTGAGCGCTGTTCTGCACTCAACTGGATGCTGTTACTGGATCCCTCACAGGTCAAGAGGTCCCGGATCAACTGAATTTGACGGTCCTGTATCATAGAAATCCAAGCACGACACAAAAATGAGTCAATTGAAATCACACTGTAGCCTAAATTGACACCAACAAGAAAGAAGGGGTGGCAATGAGGGTCCAGTCATCCTTCCTACCAGTGTCTCACAGTCTGCCTCAGCCTTTTGTCTGCGCCGTATCTCCACGTCTACCTGGTTGCGGGCATGCTTCAGTTTGACCTCCAAGGCTCCCCTCTCAGTCTCCGTTTTTCTCAGCATCTCTTTGCATGACCCCAGTTCATGCTCAGTCTTTAGCCATTTGCGACGGCAGTCATCAAAGTTTTGTGCCATCTGAATAAAGTCTAGGGGGGGGAAATGGGAGCATTAGTATAGTCTATAGGGGCCTGAAGTGCCTGTGTGAATTAACAGAAGGTAAAGACAACAGAACCTGTAGCCATGATATACTCACTGGGTTCAATGTTCTCACTGAGAAGGTCAACTTGCGTCCTCATCCTTTCATATAAGCTCTGGAGGTTCAGCACCGCAGTCTCCATGGTGTCTTACAATTTAAGGCCCTCTGAGAAGAAATACATTTTAAAATTCAACCACACAGAATATCCTTGGATTATCTAGATTTTTTGCTAGCCGCCTTTCAGTTTTGCAAGTATTTTAACCAAAACAGATAACTTGCTGTATTGGTATGCTCACGCAAATATGTGTTTGCCGTTATGTTGAACACGCTGGCTTATTTTGCTTTTCTTCTGACGCCAGGAAAGACTAAACGCTCTATTAACCGCACACTGCTTAAACAACATGGCGTTTACGATGGCTCTACGTTTAGGTGGTGTATCTCCTCCATTTGCAAAATTCAGAAAGCAACAGTTACCTACATACCTGGAGAGGCGTTGTACAAAAAAGCCTTTCGGTGATATTTAGCCACCACACTGCTCTTTTTCCGTTTCCTTTTTTTTAGCTGTTAGCTTTTCGAACCTTTGTCCACATCCTTCGGCAGCTACAGCCACACTGAGCGGGTTGCATTTCAAATTTCACCGCTACCCAATGAGAGATGAAGACGGCTCGGGTGTGAACGCAAAAAATAGATGCAACTTCCGTGTTTGTATTTTCAAAGTAAAACCCCCGTAACGGCCAGTCGCTTCACAGGTAAGCGAGTAGATTTGCGTCAGAATGGGTAGAACTGATCCAGTGTTAACCCTAATGATAATACATTTAATATTTAGCAATCAAATAAGCGAATAAATTTATAACAAAGAAGAAATGAGAATAAAAAGTAATACTTCCGGTCATATCTTTCAAAAATAGAGACCCGTGTTTTTTCCCAAGAACACGTAAGTGGAAAAATAACGACTTCCGAGTTTGGACTGTTAATGCCGTTATGCTGCGGCTGTCAAAACACAGACACTCTATAAAACATATACTGCTCATGCTAGCAAGTAATATGGCCAGAATCTGCAGGGCCACGGATACACCAAAAACTATAATTACCATCCTTAACCTGTTTGTGTCCAACAGAGGTCATAATTCAGTTAAAGTTTTGTTTTTAATATAGCACCAGTTCGCGACAAGAGTCGCCTCAAGGCGCTTTATACCGTAAAGTAAAGACCCTATAGCTTTCTGGAGAAAATCCCCCAAATCAGGCAGCCCAATTTGTGCAAGCACTTTAAAGAAAAAAACAACAACTCCCTTTTAACAGGACGAACCCTTCTGCACAACCAGGATCACAGCAGGGCAGCTAAGAATTTTACACTGTATATCAAACTCTTCCGTGTCAATTTTTGATTATTGCTTTGCTTGAAATTAATTATATATTTTAATGTTTTTAGAGCATAACGTCCCAAAGGGCTTTCGCTTAGACTGTGTTTATTAATTTTTATGCATAATTTATTATTGAATTTTTTTTAATAAACCTATAAAAATAACTATCTTCACCTTATAATATGGGTATGTTTCTATTCGACAGGAGTGCAAATAGTTTCACTTTTTCCATAATAAATGTGTTCTGTTCGACCCCCTAAAACACACATCCTTAACTTTTAACTTTTCCAATCATACTTTTAAAGCAATACTATTCTTCTCTGGCCATATTATATTCATAATTGTGTATGAGCTAGTCAAGTCATGACAGATGGGCTAAATGTGTCTATAGAAAGGTCCTTGCCTATTGTGGTTCTCCTTATATTAAAATAGGCGTTCACTGCGCTTTAATTTACTTATAGAGGCAATAGTCACGCTATTAAATTATGGCACTAACCTTTACCTGTGCTTTTACGTTAATCTGGTTTATATCACCTCCAACATGTTTTATTGTTTTATAATTACGCATTTTAAAGGGGGACTGGAAAAGCTGAACAGCTGGAGTCGCCTACGGTTGTATTTACATGCCCAACAATGTTTTATCATGATTAATAGCCTAAAAACAGATGAGTGAATGAACGAAAGGCACCCAACCAGAGAGAAACTGAGGCGGAGAGAGACGTTTAGAGGGAGTGGGTTGGTTGAGTGTGGGGAGGGGGACCACCAGCCCACCGAGGACAAACTTGCAAGAAGCAGAGGATACAGAAAAGGCTCCGCAAGACAACAGTGCAGCAGCTCGGCGAGTTTTGAGGCTACAGAGGCAGAGCAGAGCTTGCAGCGGATAACAATGATTGCAACAACTCAACAAAATATGACCACGGATCTGGTATGTGTGCATTTTCTTTTGTTTTGTCCGCACTTTTTTTTCTTTCTTTTTAGATTCAGAGCACGTGTATGTGTGTGAGAGAAGGGGGTGTTTTGTGATGTGCAGTGAGGAATTGGTGTTTTTGCCTTTTCGCCGGTTCACACTTTTCTTCGTTAATATCTATCACCTGGACAGGCTTGACTGTGTGCACTGCGGTGCAGGCTGGGCTAACGTCCGGTCGTTGTCACTCCTACATTGTCTTTCTGTCCCATGCAGACTTTTTCAGCAAAATATCTGCACCAGAAACAATGCCCATTCCTCCAACAGTCAGACGTGAGAATTTGTTCTAAGAGACTGTCCCCTCCAGTGTGGACCTGCACAGTGATAAAGAGGCAGGCTGCGCTGTATGATTGATCAGCCCTCTGCTGCATAGATGTGTTGTCAATGAGCAAAGATTATGAGCCAATAGCTTCTTTTTACACTTTAAACCCTTGCTAGTTATGGCACATACTCCATAATATCTGTAATTCTGATTCCATACAGATTCCCTATTCAAATGTAACATTCATGTATTTTCATGAGTAGACAGTTTTGCCTCTAAACAACTTGTGAGCTCACTGATATGCATTTACATGAAATGTTATTGCACAGGATGTGATCTGCAAGATTCATTTCTGCCTTTCATTCACCAATGGTGTGTAAGTGTGGTTGCATTATAAATGGTTTAATGTAAAATTGAAAATACACGTACGTTAGGTGGCATCATTTGTAAACTCTGAATTTAACCCTTAAATTAAAAAATAAATCTTGAATTATTCAGGAATTTATATTGGCTGCTTTTTGTTTCTCTTCAGCAGAGTCCATTTTCAAATCTTGGTAAGTCAAATAATGAACAGGTCAAACTGTCACTCTTCTTGGGAAAGGGTTTCAATCAAGTGGTCATTAGAACAGGGCTACCCTGAAGGTGAAAGTGTTCAAGAGACTAGATTGAGTAGTCTAATTATATCTAATTAGTACGTAGCCTATTTGTGATACAGATCAAGGAGATGTCTGGCATTAAGTGACACACTAATATTTAAGTCTTTTACTTACAGGCTGATGAGAGGAAGTATTAATGAAATCATAGTCTAAAAGAATCTTTTATTATAATCCTTCTGCACTTTTGTCTCTTTCAGAGGGCCACAAACGGCTGTGAGGCTTATAAATAGTCCATTAGCTGCAAGTGACACAGCATCTCAGTGCAGTCTCCAATCAATATGCGAAGCAATTAATGAGACAATAATATTTGTTCATTTTCAATAAGAGGGTTTGTTGCTGCTTCACTGGGTTATAGACTCTCACCTGTCTCAAGTCAGCGAAGTTCAAATACTATTGACACTATATAAAGCCTAGTATTACAAGACTGCAATCTACAGCCTCACGAGGCACCACCTGTCTCTTGGCCTTTGGACCAGAAAAGAAAAAAGTGAAAATGACTTGTGTCGTGTGTTGGTGTGTCAAAATATTAGATAGAGAATGTACAAAGTGGATTGTGGATTCCACTTAATGTGACAATCATCAACAAAATAAAGCATATTTGTGTCAGAAAAACACAGCGCTTTGTTTGTGGTTCAGTAAATCCCTGCCATTAAGGAATGCAACTAGCAGTGACAGCAATATTTTTTATCCTTAACGCTGGTTAAGTGCCAGCATGACACTGGGAGCTCTTACACTGAACCTATTACGTGTATATCATTTGCTGGTATCCCTTTAGAGCTTGCTAAAAAATGGCATGTTCGTTTTTTTTATTTGTACTGTAACTCTATATCTCACCCGTAGCTCTCCCACATGTGTTTCTACTGATGCTGCTTATTTCCTAAGGCAGGAGCTTGGCCACTTTGAGTGGCTGGACACGCTGAGGAAAAGCTCCCTTGTACAGCAACCTTTTGTACAGTAATTTTCGTGCGTGTGATGGGGAGCATGAAAAGAAGACAGGGCAGCCTTGCAGCAGTAGAGGCTAAAGCAGCCTTTCATTTCACTAAGGCTTTTGCTGCATTGTCTGGTAATAGCCTCGAGGGCAAAAAGAACTGCCCTGTTCCATATGGTGTCCTACCACCTACTGTTTTTTTTGGGGGGGGGGGGATAAGAAACTAAAAATCATAATTCTGGTGCAGTGAGTTAGAGCACTGAAGTTCATGAAAGACAGCCTTAGATACGGATCAGTCTTGATGTCATTACTACAGCAGTTTGGTTACCATTTATTCAAACTATGCTAAAGTTAGCAGTCTGCTCTAATGATGACTTTCATTTTTAATGAAGGGAAGGGGAAATATTGACAAGATAATGCATATGTGGGTTATCTGCAGATGTCCCTTGCAACCTGTTATTGTGAATCCTTAAAATCAGGAAGCTTTTGTTTATATCGAGGGCTGTATGTGACTGCCAATACATCTCTCCCTTTTATATGTTGGTAGTTATTTCGTTGATGCCTTCTCCAATGTTTTGTGTGCAATAAACATTACTGGCCAGTATTAAGGGATGGGGTGGAGTAGGGTGGGTGCCCGGAGGTATGCAAATCTACAAGCAGAATCCCTGAACAGCCTGCATTGGTTTCTTCATTCCCCTGCATGTGATTTATTGTTGGATGCCGCAAAGACACAGAAGATGGAGTTAAGGAGGTCTCCTGAGCCTAATTTATGAATTCTGAGCGCCGCCTGGATTCTGCGCAACCCAGTTGTGGTGCATGGCTGTGCAGACTGAGTAATTGTGTTTGGCGTGACTTGCTTTTGTAGTGTGCAAACTCGATCAATACAGTTCAAATTGTCTGATTTTGTGTGCACTTCATTGAGGAAAGGGGGCCAGTTTGTTTGTGTGCAGGTAAATAAGCAATTGCTTCTATTTAGTGTACATTCTAAGTCAAAATGGTAGAAGGCACAAAACAGGCTTAGTTTTTGTGAGGTTCTTCCACTAGGAGCTGTCATATATTGCAGGAAACAGTGTTTAAGGAAGAGTGTCTATCTAAAAGTTTTCTCAGTGGCTGTATTCCCACTGTTAATTGTTTCCCATTGGACCTTGTACACATTATTGATTCTATGATTTGGCTGAATGAAAAGCCTGTGGCTCTGCTGGCAAATGTAAGACCTCTCTCTCTCTTCAAATTCAGTTCTGCATGGTTTGCCAAAACTCCTCTCACGGGGATGCCTTCAGGATGAGTTATCCACAGAGGTATTGCCTTTGATTTGCAATCTTGCACCCTCTGGTGTTTGACTGACACCACATCCCGGATTCCACTCCAGCTCGTGTGGGATCACGCAGGCTGAATAAAAAGACTGTCTATGTGTGATTCAGTTGTGGTTTGGCTCAGCAGAAAACCCACATGGAGATATTTTTGCTTGTCCGTCAGGGTGCTGACTGAGATAAACCTGGTCTGTCATACAGCTTGTCATCTGTTCGACTGTGACAGCAGTTTGTGCTGC